AAGACAGTGATCCCTACTTCATAGGGTTGTGGTCAGGATTAGATGACATTAGGATTTTAACACTGGTCCCTAAGAAGTGCTTAGTAAATGCTCTCCCTTGCTCCAGGACTGAGGAGAGCAAGATGGGTTGCAATTGAGAAGTCAGACTTAGCGGGTGAAGTCATACAAAACTGCAGACTCTCTGCCTTGTATACCTGTAGCTTGGCCCGAGGCACCCAGTTTCAGTTTGTGTCCTGTATCCTCTGAAGGACTAGGAGGTCTGAATTTTGTTTTTCATGCACAGGTCATACTAGTTAGGAGAATACAGACCAGGCATGAAATGCTGGGACCTGAGCCAGTTCTTTTGATTACCGTGTCAGTAGCAACCTTAAGGAGGCTTTTAAGCAAGGATCCACCAGCCTCACCACCACTGTCAGCACCAGCAGGTCCCAGAAGACAACATAAACAATGCTGAACTCTTTCCAACCAACACAAGAGACACAAGAATCTCTGTGGGTAGAATTTAGTAGGTGGAGGGTAAATACTTTCCCAGAGAAAGAATCAAGGGCAACACGGATGTAAGAATAAATGTAAAATTAAAATCTGATGGAATTGTATTGTTGTGTTGAGAAAGACGTAACAACAATACCTGGCGCTGGCATGGAACCTTACAATTTTCATACTATTTTATTTAATTCTTTTATCAGCCCATCAAGTCAGCAGTATAGGCATTCATTCATTTCTCTCCCTTTCTTCGTAGATGAGAAAAATGAAGGCTCAGGTTGGGTAAGACACTTCACAGGGTAGAAACTGAAAAGGTATTGACCTTTAATGTAAAGATGTGCTCAGGAAACACATCTCCTTGGCCAAAGTCATGTGGTTGGGAAGGGGCCAGATCAGGCACCAGAACCCAAATCGCCTAAATCTCAGGCTCCCACCATGTCGCCTGGAGACGGTAGGAGTCTGGGTAACCCATGGCTAGGAATGTGCAAGTGCCGGTCTATCCGCAGAACCCTAAAGGAACTGTCTTCGTCCTATCAGCAAGAAAGAAGGCCAGAACAGAACCTATTGGCTGAAACAGTGGGATTCAAATGTTTCAGCGAAAGTAGAGGTTCTGGGGTAACTGGTAAATTAAGTTATTGGCCACATGAGTAATGCTGCTAACACGTCTGTCACTCCTCCTTAGGCTCATCCATGGAGTGGCATCGTTGTCAGACTCACCGAATAATGGCTGTGGAATAACTGATCTCAGGCCTCACTTATACCTTAAAAAGCCTGCACCTTCCAATCTCTCACTAACCAGCTTTGCTCCCTTCAAAATGACAGACTAGGTATGGGAACTCCATCCAGTCCATTAGAGCATATACTGTGAGAGCTGCTTCAGTACCTTGAAGCAGAAAGAACATGCTGAGTGTTCTCTGTTTAGCCTATGCCATGAAGATCTGATTTCACTGAAAGGGGACTCGAAGCTTAAATTCTTGCTGTTTCTACTATAGTAAGATCATTGACATCAGCAAGAATCTCCATGTTTGCAAATATTATTGGTTCTCCCACAAAATCCTATGAGTTATAACTAAAAACTTTAAGTGGCCCCTTCAAGTACTTAATGACTTTACAAAAAGGTACTAAAATCTTTCAACATGCTAATTAAAATTTATTCCTCTCGAGTCATATTGCTACGGAGAATCACGTTTCCCGCGCACATCTTCACAGCAAAGGTCAATGCCTTTTCAACTTCTGCTCAAGTTTTGGCTTTTTGTTGATCAGTAGTTCCGGCACAGACAAGAGCATTGCTCAAGTAGTTTTAGTAATCACTAACTTTTGTTTCTGAAAAGAACCTGGAAAGGGTTACTGCCTCACAGATTAGAGTCACCACCAAATCCAAACTGCCACTCTCTTAAAAAATGTCCATTTTCATAGTAAGAACAGTCAGTCTTACACATGTTCACCACCCTCGTCTTCTCTAGTGGTGGCTTTCTTTTGAAGACCAACTTTTACTGTGAAACATGACAAGTTTCCATGTGACCTCAAGTAGAGACTTAAGTAGCTGTGGTCAGATGTGGTGAGTGAGTGACAGCCAAGTTCATTTGTAGCCTGGCTGTCCCCTGCCTCAGGCCCATCCTTCAAGGAGCAGGCTTCAGATTCTGACCTTGGAAAAATGACACTTGACATGTGTCATTGTTTTAGACCTTCGGGGTTCCCCGGGGATATCAACTCCATTGATACCAGAGTTACCCTGAATGTATACGTTGGTTATTGTTTATTTTTTGCTTTTAATGTTTCAGTGCTAACATGTACTTGTTTTAATGATTTCATGTTAACATTTTAGTTGGTGGTTTTGTGTGCATTTATCTGTATGCTCATTTGATCTTGGCATATTGGAATTAACTATTGCCTTCCAGTAGGAATGTATTTTCCATGTGCATTAACCAAGAGACTGGATACTCCTGCATATCCCAGATGCCTTAGTGATTTAGCACACCTGGTGAGCGGGTGCAGTGGCTCACGCCTGTAATCCCAGCACTTTGGGAAGCCAAGGTGGGTGGATCACTTGGGGTCCGGAGTTCAAGACCAGCCTGGCCAACATGTTAAAACCCTGAGTCCAATAAAAATATGAAAAATTACCAAGGCATGGGGATGTGCACCTGTAATCCCAGCAATCCGGGAAGCTGAGGCATTGCTTGAACCTGGGAGGTGGAGGCTGCAGTAAGCCAAGATTGTACCACTGCACTCCAGCTTGAGTGAAAAAAAAAGGAAAAATAAAAAAATAAAAAACAAAAACAAAAAATAAAAGGGCATCTGGCAAATAAAATGAGCGTAAGACTGTTTGGACTGAATGGGTGGATTAGTAAGGATTGTTATTACTGCTGCATGTCATAGAAACTAACAAACTAGCTTAAGAAAAACAAAGCCAGGGGAGTAGAGGTTCCTGATGGAGGATCTCTCCCTCTTCCCTTAACTAACCAACAACACCTGCCCTTCCTCATCTCTTCCTCATCTCTGGGGAGGCCACTGACCTACAGAAGGAGATGGTCTGTAAGACAGGCAGAAGCATGGGGGCCAGAGATTGGAGGGGTCCTGGGGCAGCCAAAGTTGCCCTGCAGTGGTTGATAAGTGGTTCTCCAAATTTAGTGGGGCAGACTGGATCACACTACAACCTTAGGCACACCCTTGCCTTGCTTTGCTCTTTATATTGCCACTTATGATGAGAAGATCTGGAAAATCTTCTTTTTTAACTCCAGAGACACCACCATTACAAAGACAGAGCCCATAGAAGGCCAGCTGATGAACGGAGAGGTGACTTCTCCCAGCCCAAACCCTCATCACAGTAGTATTCCCCCTGAGGTTCAGGGGCCAGTATTAGCAAGCTAATTAATCAATGAAGGTGTGATAAAATGAGAGCATTTAAGAGACGTATGGAGAGAGAAGCTGAAGACAGACTTGGCCTTCTTTATAATTCTGCCAAGCCTAAGCCTAAGGAGATTCTACCAGGACATGGCATTACAGTTAGCCACATTAAAGGCCACAGACCTGACCTGTTACCTACATGACTTCAGACCTTGCCTGGGCCTCTGATATGTGTCTTCACTGATGATTTTGGAGCTCTTAGCATCTTCCTCTGACCCTTGGCTTTCTTTGACAGTCAAATGGCTGAATGTCTGTCCCATCTGGATTGATGACTTACCAGAATAAGCAACTGGCTGTCACCACCCTGATTTATGATCCTCACCAGCAGAGCCTCCTGCAGAACCAAAGCTGTCCAGGCCCGCAGACCTGCCTTCCCACATGATGTGATGTCCCGTATCCCCAGCTAGGGTGACACGTGAACCTTCTGATTAGACTGCTCTTTCCCCACCCTGCCTCATACCTCATCCCTCTTCCACCAGGTACCCATTCCCCCATATCAAACCAGACTTTGCTGTCACGGAAATCCTGTCCCTGGCTTCCTTCCTAGGCCCAGATCTCTAGCTCCCCAACTTCCCCGACAGATCTGCCTGGATCCTGGACCTACCTCACCTTGCTCAAGTTTGTCACTTGGCTGCTCTTGCCTCACCTCTGACCTTTGCCCTCTGGCAGATCACCCTGGAATGGGATGGTTCTTAGAACCAGCACTCAGGACCCACCAACCTCTGTGCTGTGGCGGGCATACTAAGATTCCACCATGAAGCACAATATACATTTGGAGAAAAACTTCACTCATCAAGAAATAACCAGCACCCATATCCACTACACAAAAATGAACAGGGTTTGTGAAAAATCACAACTATTACGTAAGACTTTTTAGTTCATAAGCTGCGTAACATCAGATCATCACACCGGCAAAGCAGGGCCTGTAAGGCTGTTAGGATGATCTGGAAATTGCTTTATTATTGAATATTACAATGATATTTGCCAACATGGAATATTTTGCTTGTGTGTGCATTCAAATAAAATTTCCAGCCACCATTGTTTATAGCCCAAATATATTAATATCTCCACATAACAAATTCCAAAGAGGACAAATGAAATATTTAAATGAGCAAGCTTTGTGGACCTACTGAATACTGCATTTTACCTTTATGTTCTTCTTTATCACCCGCAGGCATTTAAAAAAAAGAATCAAACCTGATAACGTCAAAAGACGAGAAAGGCTAAACTCAGAGAAATAAAGAAACCATAAATCAGGAAAACTTTGGAGCTGCTGGAAAGACACTTTAATTTTGTAGACAAAAGACTGCATTAAGGAGGAATAATGCAATAATCAAAGGTGAACGGATCGCTATTGTCTAGCGTCTTCCTCTGTGGGAATTTTCCCACCCCTGACAGCTGTAAGGGGGGCAGGGGCGCCGAATGTGGCTGTGCCTTTATTCTCTCACCCTTTTTCTCCCCAGCCCCTCCTCTCCTCCATCAATAAATGTCTGCAATCATATTCTTGAGCTCCTGTGTGATTTCAAGGTTCATCTCTTCCATGCAGCTCAAACACTAATTATCCCAGCTGTAATTAGTAAGATAATTAAATACTGGCTCACTCATCACTCTACCTTGGGTCGGGTCGTGATTCTCCCAGAAGACCTTGAGCAGTTCCTCAAAACTGATGTGTTCTGGCTGGTACACAACTCGGACGACTTCTGCATGGCCAGTTTTTTCTTGGAAGAAACAGAATGTACAACCGAAATTTACCGACAACATCAATTTATTGCAAGTTATTTGTTCACAAAAAAAACCAACACACAAAAGCTGAAACTCTTCCCTCTGAATGAAGAATGGAAGCATGATTAGACTTTAGCTACCAGTCTCTCTCAAGGCTCTGTCATTGGTTCTTTTTCCAAAAAGCATACAGTCCTCCTCTAGTGAGCTTGCTGCGATGACGATTTTGACACTGTGCTCTAATAAATTGTTTTAAGTTCATGAAAAAGCAAATGTGGGTTTTCAGGCTTCTGTGCTCACTCTTAGGAAATCTTATGGATCCACCCGGATATAGCACCCAAGATACGAAACTCTGCAAAGGGAAAGAGCCAGTTTATTTTTATCATCACTCCATGCTGTATGTAGTGAGCTTAGCTGTACTGCAGTGAGATGGTGCCAGGGAGAGAAACCTGGAAAAAACAGGCTGATCACTCATTCACATGAGATCAGTGAGTTAATGAAGGGACATACTTGCTGTGCTGTTAACAGTGGGACAAGGGTCAGATTTAAATACCCAGTAGGGTGGTAAGTGTTTTCTCAGCCTAATTCATCTCTGTAGTAAACAATGATTGTGGCATATGTCTCCGTGCAGGATCCTCTGTAAGTAGGCCTATTCTCAGTGGTGGTCCTGAGGGTTTGGTGGATCACGGGTGGGTATTTGCAGTACTGCTTGTTCCTACAGCATCCATGTCCTTCCTTATTTTACAGTCTTAGAACATGGCAAATTAGAGATCCCTCCATACTAAGATCACTTGGCTATATAAATTTGGTTTCTGTTTTCAGTCACCGTATGTGTAGTAAAGAACTTGGCCAGCTGGTGCAGCGGCTCATGCCTGTAATTCCGGCACTTCGAGAGGCCAAGGTGGGTACATCACCTGAGGTCAAGAGTTCGAGACCAGCCTGGCCAAACTGGTGAAACCCTGTCTCTACTAAACAAAAAATTAGCCAGGCATGGTGGCAGATGCCTATAATCCCAGCTACTCAGGAGGCTGAGGCAGGAGAATCACTTGAACCCGAGAGTCGGAAGTTGCAGTGAGCCGAGATTGTACCATTGCACTCCAGCCTGGGCAACAAGAGTGAAACTCCATCTGAACAACAACAACAAAAAAGAATTTGGCCTTGCCCAAAGAGAGGTCTGGCCTTTAGTCCTCAGCTTCTGGAATATAATCTTTGTCATACTTAGTGCTGGGCACACGGAGTCTCAGGATGGAACCAACTATATCCAATTGTCTTAGGGTGAGAGTTGGCCATGCTACAAAGACCAACCATATGAATTAGGACAGAGGCTTTGGATCATGTGGTGTCAGAACACCTGAACACCGAGTTCAACCATGTAGGCAATCAATCAATCAATCAATCATGCCTACACAATGGAGTCACAATGAAAACTCTGGACACTGAAGCTCAGGCAAGCGTCTCTGGTTGGCAGTATTTTGTATACTGTTACACATAAATACCAAGAAGTCAGCACATCCTGACTGCACAAGAGAAGAGAACAGAGCATTTGGAGCCCTTCCAGCCTCCACCTGATGCCTCTCTTTAGCTAACTCTGAGCTGTATCCTTTCCCTACAAGACACTGTAACCATGTGTATAACAGCATTCAGTGGGTGCTGTGAGTACTCCTACCAAATTATCAAACATGAGGGTGGTTTTGAATCTACAAAATTGTCTTCCAATATATTGGCTGTCTCACTAATTCTCACAACTGTCAAATGGTGCAGGTAGGAAAAGTAGAAATCCCCATTTTACAAACTGAAAAACTATGACACAAATAAGTTGGATATGCCCAACCAAGGTCACACAGCTAGTGAATTTCTGGGCCCTAACCTGTGAAAAGAAAACATACCTTCTGACTTCTGGTCCAGGGCTCTATCCAATACATCAGAGGAAAGAGCACAAGGTGAACATTTGGAACATGAATCCAGAAAAGAAATCTATTCATTATCTTTAATTTGATTGTTTTGTATTTAAATTTCCTTCTGATTGTAGAAACAATATTTATAGATGATACTGAAGCTTAGAAAATGTGAGGAAGTATAAAAAAGAAAATACAGGCCAGGCACAGTGGTTCGCACTTGTAATCCCAGCACTTTGGGAGGCCGAGGCAGCTGGATTGTCTGTGGTTGGGAGTTCAAGACCAACCTGGCCAAAATAGTGAAACCTTATGCCCAGTAAAAATACACTGCATTCATTACAGCATGCTTTCTTTCCTCTCTTACCAATATATTGGGAACATTTCCCCATGTCACTAAAACTTTTAGAAAACACCATTTAAAATGAATACATAACTCTCCATCAGATGATTGTCCAGCTACTAATTCAATCATTCCTTGTCATCGGGCAATTAGACTAAAACATATTTTTATCCATAAATGTCAATATTTTTCCATGTTTCTGAGGCTGCCTCAAGCCTTAGTTATATAAGCAGAATTTCTAAATCAGTGTTTCTAAACATTTTTAAATTTCTTGGTGTCTAGTTCCAAGCTGCTTTTCAGTGAGGTTGACTCAGTTTTATCTTCCCATTGGCAGCATTTTTGAGGGCCAGTCTCAGTCACTATTACAATGTTTTTAATCCTTAGCAATTCATAGCTGGAAGACAGTATTCTATTGTTTTATTTAGGATGAATTTCATTATTAGTGAGGGAACAATACATTTCATGGTTATTAGCAATTTTAATTTATTCTTTGCTCTAATTGGCATCATGTCTTTTTTATACTGATTATTAATTATTATATTAATATTTTATTAATTGGCTAGTCATATAATTTTAATTCAAATACTACAGTCATTCAAGTTAGCATCTAAACAAACTTTATGCCAAAAGATATTTTAAAAACGACAGTGGAGAATTTGGGAAGAAGATGCAATAAGTATAATAATCATATGATTGTAAAACCACTTTTGCTCTAGTTTAACATATTATTATTTTGTAATTTGAAATGTTTAAGTGATTGAACTATATAAGCATTAAAACTCTCTGAATATTAAAAATGGTAATATGTTATCAACACAACAGATATATTTGGCATGAAAAATGTTGAAACCACACTAAAATATAAGCGAAAGATGCAAACAGGCTATTCACATAGGAAGAAATACATGTAAAATGAGACATGCAAAATGTCAACATTTTTAGTGATCAAAATGAAAGTAAATAAATGATTACTAAACATTAACATATTATCTCTTATTTATTACATTTAATGAAACTGCTTAGAAGCATCTTAGTGCTGTTGAGGATACAATGAAATGGTGCCCTTACTTGGCTAGAGCCAGGGTAAAATCACTAAATCTGTTTTGAAAGCCCATGGGCATATGTAGCAAGAGCCACAAAGATGCTCATTCACTTTGATTAAGTGATCCAGGACATCCGTCTCAAAGGTATAACCTCAAATAATAGAACAGATACATAAATGCACAAAAAAATCACTCTATCATTACTGCAACAGTAGAATACTATAAGAAATATACAAGCCAAACAAAGGGAAACAAATATGCTATACTCATATTAAAATAGAGAACCATTAAAATACCACATGCTTTACTATCTTACACATTGTGAAAGCTGTTACTTTACTATTTGGTGAAGAACAACAATATGGCAGCCACTTATCTACCTGAAACCATTTAGTGCCCATAATTTTTCCCCTATTTTGATAAAATACACATAACATAAAATTTAGCATCATAATAATTCTTAGGTGTACAGTTCAATAGTATTAAGTACATTCACAATATTGTGCAATCATCACTATCATCCATCTCCGTAACTCTTTTCATCTTGCAAAACTGATATTCTGTACCCATTAAACTAACCATGCCCCATCCCCCTGGACCCTGGCAACCCCTTTCTACTTTCTTGTCTCTATGGAGTTGACTTCTCTAGGGACCTTCTATAAGTGGCAATATACAGTATTTGTCTTTTCTTGTCTCTATGGAGTTGACTTCTCTAGGGACCTTCTATAAGTGGCAATATACAGTATTTGTCTTTTTGTGACTGTCTTATTTAACTTGGCATAATGTCCTCAAGTTTTATCTATGTTGTAGGATGTGTCTGAATTTTCCCCCTCTTTAGGGCTGAATAATATTCCATTGTATGTATTTTGTTTGTTTATCCATTTATCCATTAGTGAACACTTGGGTTGCCCCTATCTTTTTGCCACTGCAAATAATGCTGCTGTGAACACGGGCATACAAACATTGCTGACAATGATTTTGCAAGAGAGATATGGTCCCCATTAAACAGATGAGGAGATCAAGGTTTCCCTACAAGTTTTTTTCACACAATACTGAACAGTAAGAAAGTAGGAGGATTTAGTCACAAGCCAACCAGGTTTCAAATGGAGATGAAGCTCAACCTCCTAGTATGACCTGAGCTTCTGAATGGAGAACCCTGAAGCCACAAAATGATGACAAGTATCACACAGGCTGTGACCCAGATGAGAAATCACAGCTGTGCTGTAATTGACACTGAATTACAGTGTCAATTTTATGGGATTAGGCTCTTCTTTCATGACGGCAATATAGGGTCAGGAAAGATCTCCACTCACCAGCAAACACTTTCAGACATAATCTGCCACTGACATTATTTGTGGAAAGGTTTAAAGAAGCTTCGTTGTTTAAAAGAAACTACTACCATTCAAATTCAAGATTCATTTGCCTTGACAAACAGCACAGTGATGCCCCTGCCAAACTCACCTTTAAGTTTCTTTACTTTATTTCTCTAAAGTAAAAGAACCTGTGTAAAAATACACAGTGCAAATGATCAAAAGGATTAAGGGACTCAGAACCACTTACAGAAATGCCCACACTTTACAGGAACCAGCCAACGTGCTAGGCTAATTTCATTCCGGAGACCAATCTGCAAATACTTTCTTGTGCTTCCAGAGATAAAAGGCCATATCTTAAAAATACTTCAAGCTGTGTCTTCACATAACATCGTGCAAATAGCATGATAG